CGCTCAGCCTCTCCCCTTAACTCCTAACAGTCATCATCATGGTGACGCTCAGCCTCTCCCCTTAACTCCTAACAGTCATCATCATGGTGACGCTCAGCCTCTCCCCTTAACTCCTAACAGTCATCATCATGGTGACGCTCAGCCTCTCCCCTTAACTCCTAACAGTCATCATCATGGTGACGCTCAGCCTCTCCCCTTAACTCCTAACAGTCATCATCATGGTGACGCTCAGCCTCTCCCCTTAACTCCTAACAGTCATCATCATGGTGACGCTCAGCCTCTCCCCTTAACTCCTAACAGTCATCATCATGGTGACGCTCAGCCTCTCCCCTTAACTCCTAACAGTCATCATCATGGTGACGCTCAGCCTCTCCCCTTAACTCCTAACAGTCATCATCATGGTGACGCTCAGCCTCTCCCCTTAACTCCTAACAGTCATCATCATGGTGACGCTCAGCCTCTCCCCTTAACTCCTAACAGTCATCATCATGGTGACGCTCAGCCTCTCCCCTTAACTCCTAACAGTCATCATCATGGTGACGCTCAGCCTCTCCCCTTAACTCCTAACAGTCATCATCATGGTGACGCTCAGCCTCTCCCCTTAACTCCTAACAGTCATCATCATGGTGACGCTCAGCCTCTCCCCTTAACTCCTAACAGTCATCGTCATGGTGACGCTCAGCCTCTCCCCTTAACTCCTAACAGTCATCATCATGGTGACGCTCAGCCTCTCCCCTTAACTCCTAACAGTCATCATCATGGTGACGCTCAGCCTCTCCCCTTAACTCCTAACAGTCATCATCATGGTGACTGTTCAGCCTCTCCCCTTAACTCCTAACAGTCATCATCATGGTGACGCTCAGCCTCTCCCCTTAACTCCTAACAGTCATCATCATGGTGACGCTCAGCCTCTCCCCCTTAACTCCTAACAGTCATCATCATGGTGACGCTCAGCCTCTCCCCTTAACTCCTAACAGTCATCATCATGGTGACGCTCAGCCTCTCCCCTTAACTCCTAACAGTCATCATCATGGTGACGCTCAGCCTCTCCCCTTAACTCCTAACAGTCATCATCATGGTGACGCTCAGCCTCTCCCCTTAACTCCTAACAGTCATCATCATGGTGATGCTCAGCCTCTCCCCTTAACTCCTAACAGTCATCATCATGGTGACGCTCAGCCTCTCCCCTTAACTCCTAACAGTCATCATCATGGTGACGCTCAGCCTCTCCCCTTAACTCCTAACAGTCATCATCATGGTGACGCTCAGCCTCTCCCCTTAACTCCTAACAGTCATCATCATGGTGACGCTCCAATGGCCTCTCCCCTTAACTCCTAACAGTCATCATCATGGTGACGCTCAGCCTCTCCCCTTAACTCCTAACAGTCATCATGGTGACGCTCAGCCTCTCCCCTTAACTCCTAACAGTCATCATCATGGTGACGCTCAGCCTCTCCCCTTAACTCCTAACAGTCATCATCATGGTGACGCTCAGCCTCTTCCCCTTAACTCCTAACAGTCATCGATCATGGTGACGCTCAGCCTCTCCCCTTAACTCCTAACAGTCATCATCATGGTGACGCTCAGCCTCTCCCCTTAACTCCTAACAGTCATCATCATGGTGACCTCAGCCTCTCCCCTTAACTCCTAACAGTCATCATCATGGTGATGCTCAGCCTCTCCCTTAACTTCCTAACAGTCATCATCATGGTGACGCTCAGCCTCTCCCCTTAACTCCTAACAGTCATCATCATGGTGACGCTCAGCCTCTCCCCTTAACTCCTAACAGTCATCATCATGGTGATGCTCAGCCTCTCCCCTTAACTCCTAACAGTCATCATCATGGTGACGCTCAGCCTCTCCCCTTAACTCCTAACAGTCATCATCATGGTGACGCTCAGCCTCTCTTACTCCTAACAGTCATCATCATGGCGACGCTCAGCCTCTCCCCTTAACTCTAACAGTCATCATCATGGTGACGCTCAGCCTCTCCCCTTAACTCCTAACAGTCATCATCATGGTGACGCTCAGCCTCTCCCCTTAACTCCTAACAGTCATCATCATGGTGACGCTCAGCCTCTCCCCTTAACTCCTAACAGTCATCATCATGGAGACGCTCAGCCTCTCCCCTTAACTCCTAACAGTCATCATCATGGTGACGCTCAGCCTCTCCCCTTAACTCCTAACAGTCATCATCATGGTGACGCTCAGCCTCTCCCCTTAACTCCTAACAGTCATCATCATGGTGACGCTCAGCCTCTCCCCTTAACTCCTAACAGTCATCATCATGGTGACGCTCAGCCTCTCCCCTTAACTCCTAACAGTCATCATCATGGTGACGCTCAGCCTCTCCCCTTAACTCCTAACAGTCATCATCATGGTGACGCTCCGCCTCTCCCCTTAACTCCTAACAGTCATCATCATGGTGACGCTCAGCCTCTCCCCTTAACTCCTAACAGTCATCATCATGGTGACGCTCAGCCTCTCCCCTTAACTCCTAACAGTCATCATCATGGTGACGCTCAGCCTCTCCCCTTAACTCCTAACACTCATCATCATGGTGACGCTCAGCCTCTCCCCTTAACTCCTAACAGTCATCATCATGGTGACGCTCAGCCTCTCCCCTTAACTCCTAACAGTCATCATCATGGTGACGCTCAGCCTCTCCCCTTAACTCCTAACAGTCATCATCATGGTGACGCTCAGCCTCTCCTTAACTCCTAACAGTCATCATGGTGACGCTCAGCCTCTCCCCTTAACTCCTAACAGTCATCATCATGGTGACGCTCAGCCTCTCCCCTTAACTCCTAACAGTCATCATCATGGTGACGCTCAGCCTCTCCCCTTAACTCCTAACAGTCATCATCATGGTGACGCTCAGCCTCTCCCCTTAACTCCTAACAGTCATCATCATGGAGACGCTCAGCCTCTCCCCTTAACTCCTAACAGTCATCATCATGGTGACGCTCAGCCTCTCCCCTTAACTCCTAACAGTCATCATCATGGATGACGCTCAGCCTCTCCCCTTAACTCCTAACAGTCATCATCATGGTGACGCTCAGCCTCTCCCCTTAACTCCTAACAGTCATCATCATGGTGACGCTCAGCCTCTCCCCTTAACTCCTAACAGTCATCATCATGGTGACGCTCAGCCTCTCCCAACCTACTCATCACATGACTCTCCCCTTAACTCCTAACAGTCATCATCATGGTGACGCTCAGCCTCTCCCCTTAACTCCTAACAGTCATCATCATGGTGACGCTCAGCCTCTCCCCTTAACTCCTAACAGTCATCATCATGGTGACGCTCAGCCTCTCCCCTTAACTCCTAACAGTCATCATCATGGTGACGCTCAGCCTCTCCCCTTAACTCCTAACAGTCATCATCATGGTGACGCTCAGCCTCTCCCCTTAACTCCTAACAGTCATCATCATGGTGACGCTCAGCCTCTCCCCTTAACTCCTAACAGTCATCATCATGGTGACGCTCAGCCTCTCCCCTTAACTCCTAACAGTCATCATCATGGTGACGCTCAGCCTCTCCCCTTAACTCCTAACAGTCATCATCATGGTGACGCTCAGCCTCTCCCCTTAACTCCTAACAGTCATCATCATGGTGATGCTCAGCCTCTCCCCTTAACTCCTAACAGTCATCATCATGGTGACGCTCAGCCTCTCCCCTTAACTCCTAACAGTCATCATCATGGTGACGCTCAGCCTCTCCCCTTAACTCCTAACAGTCATCATCATGGTGATGCTCAGCCTCTCCCCTTAACTCCTAACAGTCATCATCATGGTGACGCTCAGCCTCTCCCCTTAACTCCTAACAGTCATCATCATGGTGATGCTCAGCCTCTCCCCTTAACTCCTAACAGTCATCATCATGGTGACTGCTCAGCCTCTCCCCTTAACTCCTAACAGTCATCATCATGGTGACGCTCAGCCTCTCCCCTTAACTCCTAACAGTCATCATCATGGTGACGCTCAGCCTCTCCCCTTAACTCCTAACAGTCATCATCATGGTGACGCTCAGCCTCTCCCCTTAACTCCTAACAGTCATCATCATGGTGACGCTCAGCCTCTCCCCTTAACTCCTAACAGTCATCATCATGGTGACGCTCAGCCTCTCCCCTTAACTCCTAACAGTCATCATCATGGTGACGCTCAGCCTCTCCCCTTAACTCCTAACAGTCATCATGGTGATGCTCAGCCTCTCCCCTTAACTCCTAACAGTCATCATCATGGTGACGCTCAGCCTCTCCCCTTAACTCCTAACAGTCATCATCATGGTGACGCTCAGCCTCTCCCCTTAACTCCTAACAGTCATCATCATGGTGACGCTCAGCCTCTCCCCTTAACTCCTAACAGTCATCATCATGGTGACGCTCAGCCTCTCCCCTTAACTCCTAACAGTCATCGTCATGGAGACGCTCAGCCTCTCCCCTTAACTCCTAACAGTCATCATCATGTCAACCACAACACAGAGAAATACTGATATAAATGTGTGTGTAGTTGTTGATACATTGCTGACAGAGGGAACTAGAATACAGATTTAAGAAATGTCAGTTTTTGAGCATGTCATAAGCATGTTTTGTCTTGACTATATTACAACTATATTACAATAAAATAATATAGTATTTATATTATTGAATTGATTATGATTATTAGTAGAAGTAGTGAGGCTAGTATTTGGCAGGAAATGCAGACGTAAATTCACCTGTAAACGCATACTGAACTACATACATGCACATTTACCATTTACCTCACTGTCTAAAAAAGTAACTGTTGATAATAATAATAAACAGGAATTATATTTGCAAAGTAGCCTACTTTGTTTCCAAAACATTTTGTTTCACTCCTGTCAGTTGTGGGGGGGGGGGGGCCTTATCTCACAATGTTGCTTGGGGCCCCAAGTTGGCCAGGGGCGGCCCTGAACACATTTATCTGTGATTCAAAAGATCAAAAATAAATAAAAGTGCAATGATTTTCTTTGTTCCCAGGCAGTGCTATGGCTAACTCATCTAATCATGATATCAATGAGGTTCCAGGGATGATAGAAAGATATGGACCTGCCGCAGCAGCTAAAAAGATCAAGGCCATGTTGGAAGAGAAGAACAATACTCCACTAAACATCGGCATCACAGGAGAGTCTGGCACTGGCAAATCCTCCTTCGTTAACGCCTTTAGAGGCATAGACAACAGGGATGACCTCGCCGCCCCTAATGGTGTTGTAAAAACCACCATGGAGCCCAAATCATACCCCCATCCAAAATGGCCCAATGTCAAAGTGTGGGATCTTCCTGGTATTGGCACCACCCATTTCCCAGCTGCCCAGTACCTGCAGCATGTTCAGTTTAAAAGATATGACTTCTTCATCATCATCTCAGCTGATCGCTTCAAAGAAAATGACGTAAAACTTGCTCTGGAGATTCAGAGGATGGAGAAGAAGTTCTACTTTGTTCGCTCAAAGATTGATGATAACATGCGTGCCGAAAAAAGAAGTCAGAAAGATTTCCAGCCTGAAAAGAGCCTGTCAGCAATCAGAAAGAACTGCATTGAAGGTAAGTCTCAGATCGAGGTGGATATGAGACTTTCTTTAACATTTGTATGCAATATGGGTCACAAGTAGAAACTGGTTCATTTCAAGACAACACCACTAACCTCACACATGGCCAGCCCAAGGGGATAGGAAGACGGTCACAATGTTAACAGTTCCTCAAATGAGTCATATGAACACTGACTGAGCTCTGTGTCTGACCTGCAGAGGGTTGCTGGGGCTTTATCTCAATGAGTTTCATCATCTGCAACTAACTTGTTTGTTCTCTTTGTGATGCAGGTCTTGCAAAAGAAGGTATACGGTCTCCACAAGTCTTCCTGGTGTCCAGCTTTGAGCATCACCTGTATGACTTCAATCTGTTAGAGGAGACGCTGCAGAGAGAGCTTCCTGCACACAAGGGAGATGTTCTGCTGTTAGCCATGACCAATAGTAATGTTGAGATCATCAAGAAGAAGAAAGCGGTTCTCCAGTCAGAAATCAACCACGTTGCCTGGTTATCTGCACTAGCAGGAGCTGTACCTGTGGTCTCTTTGCTTGCTGATCTAAACCTACTGGTTAGTACGGCCAATAAGTACAAAGTTACTTTTGGTCTTGATAGCAAGTCACTGCAGAATCTTGCTCAGAGTGCAGGTGTGCCTTTGGATGATCTCAGATCAGTGCTGAACTCCCGTCTGGCTTTAGGGGAACTTAGTCCAGGTCTTATTATTGAGATGCTGGAGTGGTCTCTTCCTCAGAAGGTGGGAGCGAATTTGCTCAGATTCATTCCAATAGTTGGAAACATAGCAGCAGGAGCCCTCTCTTTCAAATCCACGGTGAAAGCTCTCAATGATTTCCTCAACATGCTCGCTAAGGATGCAGAGAGCGTATTCAAAAGAGCCCTGAACCGTTAAGTGTGATATTGTTCAGGGAAGGGTGTGGCACTTGAAGGTTTCCTGCAGTGAGTGTTAGAGAACCCAAACCAGTGAGTGATTGTCATGTTTCCTTGTCTTATCAGTTCAAGCTCCTGATTTAGAAGAACTCCGAGAGGAGGGCTGTGTTTGAAGAGCTGGGTTGCATTCCAATAGTCCCTCAGTGGCAGCCATGATAAGAGCTGCTCAAATTCTCTTGACCAGGGCTGCATTCCAATAGTCCATTTAGCTTAGGAACCTTCCTAACGGAGTGAAATGACCCGGAAGTCCCTCAGTGGCAGCCATGATAAGAGCTGATTCTCTAGATGAAAGGAGAGGAGGTTTCAAACTTCCTTTATAGCCTCCTTTAGCTTAGGAACCACTGGACCTCCCTCACCGAGAGGAGAGGAGAAAATGCTGCCCCACAATGCATTGCAGCCGCAGCATTTGCCGTCACTCAACAGTCGGCCGTTCACGGAAACAACCGATTATGACGGAGAAATGATATCATGAAAGTTACGGTGCTCATTAAGCTAAACGTATGTGGTAAGTTGCCAAAGTGCTTTGTTCTGAACGTTCATCAGTATTATAATCAAAGAGAGAAATATGAACGTTAGTTTTTACTGAAATGATCAAATAAAGTCAACATCTCACAGTCTTCACTGAGCTGTGGGAGTTTGTTCAACTTTTAAAAGATGTTTGAATGGTGATGTACACAGAGATAGATGTTAAGGACTAACGTTTATAATAAATACATCTGTATTGATTTAAGATCTTTCCATCAATCATACGTATTGGGATCATTTGTATTAATGTGGACCGGAGGGAGAGGGGGACGAGCAGAAGTTTCACTTTCCTTTTTATTTCAATTCCAGCTTTGGTCCTGAAGAATCTGTTTCTCTGTTGTCCACGTTCATAAAGCCTAAAGCAACAGCGTCAGAGCACAGAGTCTCTAGATGAGTTCACAGGAGTCCCTCGTTCTTATTGAACATCCATGTTGTAGTCCTCTGTATAGAGAACTGTAGTCTCCATAGTTTCCCCACAGCAGCAGACGCTCATTCAGGACGTCCGCTGGCGCATCAGAAACACGTCGGATTCTCTAAAGCACCGCAGTCTCTTCTCCTAAGTCCTTTTGAATTCTCCTATCCACTATCCCTTAACCCCGTGACGTTTCACTCAGAGGAGAGGAATAGGAGATAGGGTTAGAATTTAGGAGCTGATTTTTGGATTATCGGAACGCAACCCTGGTTTTATTGGCAGCCTAGCCGAGTAAGATTCTCTTGGTCTTTTGGAGAAATGAATTGAAAATAATGTGGTTTGTAGGAAACCACATTATTTTCATGATAAAGATAAAGAAGTCGTTTTTAAAATATGACATAGAATCCTATTCAAACTGAATATATTTGTGTTTTCTGTATCTTCTGAATTAGAAAAAGACATGATCTTCCATTGTTCTATCAGAGTATACCACAAGGTTTTGGTCTTATATATTGAATGTCATTAATCAACGAAAACTGGAAATGCATTTCAAATAAAGCAGAGATGTTATATTTTTCAAAGGATATAAAAAGATTGTTGTTCATGATTTGTTTTACATCTGATTGTGAGAATGATTTAACTGTTCAATAAAATCAATGATGTTTCAAAGTCTGAATCTGCAGTCAGTTACTCTTCACGGCCCAAAAGTACTCTGCAACTATTCTGACAAAACTGCAATGATTTAACTCATTGTTCAAGAAAGAGAAATATATTCTGTTCTTTTTAAATATATTGATTTATTGATTATAAAGTGTTAGAATGTAATGATCTTTATTAGCACACACAGACTACACTGATGTCCTCCTGTGATATTTCGAACACATGGAAATATACAGAACTAACTGAATAGCCCTGTCCTTAAGTATAACCCAACGTGCAGTCCTTTCCCTGCACCATTTGAAGGCTTCAAAACAGGCCTTTTTACGGCATGTGTTTGGAGAAATGACACAATCAATGGCCCAGAATTGTACTTTATAAACTGAATCTTGTGGTGCTTGAAGAAATACAGACGGGTTAAGCCGGCCAGGTTATATCAACATGTCACTAGTTATTTAAACAAACCACTATCTGAGGATAAGAAGCACCGATAAAACACCATTTATCTTGAGAGCCATTGCAGCCCATGAAGAATTTATCGAATGTGTCCATCTGCTGTTTTAATAAAGCTGCTACGTGTTTTCAAGTTAAGGCACTATCCGTGCAGAACATTACAAACATTCTTCATTTGCAGTATTTTATTTTAAAAGTGTTCAGAAAGACTGCATCAATGATATGCTATATATCTATATAATATATATGTATGTATAACGAACATAAGTATTTATGTGATTCATTGCTAATTTGAAGCTTTTCTCTAAACATAGTTTGATCATCTATTTTACACTTTGTGATTCAGGATTGAAGAGCAATAGTTTCTGTATTTCAATAACCATGTACTATCAGAAGGAGCCTCTCTACCATGTTATGTACACAAGTGAAGGGAAGTATATTAGAAAGTATTTTGTCCTTTTTGATTTGTATTTCCAAAGCTCTTAACATGAATGACTTGCAGATGATGCGAGGAATCACTGCCTCTCAGCGGTGGAAGGGAAGAACTACACACACATTGTCATTCAGAGGAGATAATACATTGTAATGTTGATTGTCATTATTTTATTATTAATAAAGATCTAAGTAACAATCTTGATATCATTCTTTATATGTCCTTGTGGGAGTAGTTTCACTAGTACTGAGTCCAACAGTGTCAATCTCAAGAAGAACTATTCTCAGAAAAAATAATAACAAACCCGAGAGACGACTGAGTGACCGCAGAATCGCTGTAGAGTTTAAAGGTCCCAACAATGTTGTCCATTTGTCCAGACATAGACTTATTATTATTATTATCAGGGTTGGGTTGTAACGGAATACATGTAACGGCGTTACGTAATCAGAATACAAAAATCAAGTAACTGTATTCAGCTGGCGTTACATTTGAAAAACGAGTAATCTGATTACAGTTACTTTCGTAAACCTGAAGTGAATACATTTTGGAACACTTATTGGAATTATTGGTGGAAAGATTTCCTCTCAACATTTAATATTCATTACTAAAGGAACAGCCGAATCATCACAGCGCACAAAACCTGTTACGCCGCAGATGGACCAAAAAAGGGGCGGGTCCGCTCAGTGGAACGATAACAACGAAACATGGAGGAACAAAAGTCTGCGTTTAAGTCGTGTGTGTGTGTGTGTGTGTAGAGGTGTGTGTGGTTAAAACACATCAGCCTGCGGTCGCTCTTTAGCCTTATGATTCTGAAGGTAAACACAGTGAAGGCGGTGCGTGAAAGGCACTCCTTCCTGGTGCTGCAGAGATTTCATGAAGTGAAGGAGATGTTCCTTCTATCAAGCAGCTGTGGGCAGCAGATACTGTGAGAGTCACAGACATGAATTCATAGATCAAGGCAGACTGGTGCACACACTCTCCTGTTTTGCCAATCCGGTGCTTAAACAAATATGGCTCTACACACCTGGCCGACATGTCCTTAAAATGAAGTCCGAGTTCGACATTTGAATTCATGTCCTGCCAACACTGGCAGGACATGAATGCGACACGCCCGTTCTAAGCCGTGTCCCTCACTCCTCACATCCCAAGCTGCATCCCCAAAAAGTGTATTATGTTGGATGCTACTCAATCAGATGCTGTTGGTACCTGTACATGTGGTTAAATATGTAAATTGTAATCCCTGTACATTTTGCTGTATGATGTCCTTTTGTTGTTCTGTTGTTTATGTCTTCTTGTGGAACCTACTGCTGCAGGTCTCCCTTGAAAAAGAGATCATTGATCTCAATGGAATTTCACCTGATGAATAAAGGTTTTGAATTGAATTGAATGTTGTTGCATCGTTTCAGTTGTGCTCTTGATAAGCCATTAAAACAGTAAAAACACGTTCAGTTTCCTTTTGCTCTTTGTGTCTCCTGTACACCAACACATCCATCTGTGATGGAAAAATAATGTAATCCAAAAGTAATCTAAAAGTAATCTGATTACGTTACTTTTTTAAGACACGTAACTGTAACTGTATTCGGATTACTTTCAGAGCCATGTATTCAGTAATCAGTAACTGATTACATTTACAAAGTAACCCTCCCAACCCTGATTATTATATTACACACAGGAACGCGCACATGACCAATGAGGGCACGAGATCAGTGTGTGCCCAGATGGAAGGCTGACAGGTAGGTAGGCCATCCAGTTACTTTACATTACATTACATTGCATTTAGCTGACGCTTTTATCCAAAGCGACTTACAATAAGTGCATTCGACCAGGAAGACACAACCTTGAAGAAAACAGAATCATATAAGTACATCAGGTTTCATAGAGCAAAAACATTTCAAGTGCTACTCAACTGGCTTTAGGTAAGCCAGTCCTTTATTAGTATATAAGTGATTTGTTAATAGTTCTATCGCTCGAAGTGGAGTCGAAAGAGATGAGTTTTCAGTCTGGAAGATGTGCAAGCTATCTGCTGTCCTGATGTCGCTTGAGCCGGGCCGGCTCAGATGATTGGTCGTGCTTTCTACAGCACTACGGCTTCAAAGCACTTCAGATATTCATTGCTATCGGGACGTTAAGAGCATTCCATGGAATATAACAACAAGTGTATCTCGAGCCGGTTTCTCAAACTTACCTACCCCACCTTTAAGTATTATTTTCTTTAAAATGTTTTCGGATTTCATATCGCAAAAACACCATGTACCAACGTACATTGCGACAAAGACATCCAATCAATGAGCTTCAACGGTAGCTGAGGATTATCGGTAACATAATGTTTCCGGCTTTCCAAAACTGAAAAAATACATGTGTCCCTCTGAATCGAAACAGTAAAACACAAAAGCATTGTACACAATTCAAACTAATTAATGTTGTGTAATTACAAGGATAAACTGATGTTTTTTAGTTATGAGTACTGCAGATATCACTGTAAAATCCTTCGACAGTGAGAGGAATGATATGTGTCCCTAGCAACCACCTTAGTTACAATGAAAACGACGAGACCGGAAATATTGTTTTCACGGTTTTCAGCGTGGACGATAACTTGACATGGACGCTGGTCAATAGAAATGAAGGGGGTGCACGCAGAGCAACCTCTATAGTTAAAATACGTAGAATATACACGTCCTCCTGGCGAGACCTCAAATATTCTTCATAATATCTATCAAACTATAGATCCTACACATCCACTGGACGTAGATTTTAAAAGTACAGTATACACTTCTCGCTAGAAATGTAATCAAAAAGCATTTTAACGCCCAACTATCCTACAATTTAGGATTTTCCACTCAAAATAAATCGGGTGGCCACCATGTTTTTGTTCTTCTCACGCTGGTAAAGTTTATGATCAAGTGACACAGGGGCGGATCTACGGGGGGTAAGTATGGGCAAGTACACTGAAGACACCAGGAGGGTCAGAGCAGGAGGAAGAGGAGGAGATGAAGAGTGCAGGAGGGTCAGAGCAGGAGGAAGAGGAGGAGATGAAGAGAGCAGGAGGGTCAGAGGCAGGAGGAAGAGG